ATGACGGAATGGTGTTAAAAGTAGGAGGTGCAAGTCGGTGCAGATCCGTCCCTATCACCCGAGATGGGGGCGTTAGAACGGGACTAAGAGTAGGAGGTGCAAGTCGGAGCAGACCCGTCCCTATCACCCGCGATGGGGGTGTTAGAACGGGGCTAAGAGGAGGAGGTGTAACAGCATCTGTCTGGGGTGGTTTTGGCTGATCAGGACCCTGACCTTGTTCGTCCCTGAGTCCCAGACCAGCTCGCCCCACGTCAGAAACCTTGTTTGTTGCTGTGGCTAGATTCTCCTCACAAGCTTTCAGGCGCTCCTGTGATGTCTGACATTCACTTTGTAAACTCAGACATTGTTGGAGAATCATCGCCTTTTCCGCTTTGCAATCCTCCAGCTCCTTTAATGCTTGCTGCAACTGCTGTTGTAGCACATCGTTGTCTGAACACGTGGCTTGGTACGCACGGTCTCTATCCCTAATCCTCCCCTCATATGTTTGAGCCTGTACTGACAGCTCAGTCTTTGAGAGGTCCCTATCAATCTGAAATTGTTCTTTCTCCAATGCAGACACATTCATCAATCCGTCACACCTCTCCTTTTCAGATTCATATCCTCTGGATAGCATGACATTTTGTGCAACCTGATGGTCCAATTCCGCTTTGAGAAGCAGGGAAATTTTTGCTAACCGTTCACGGCTCGATTTTGTATCCTCTGACACTTTAGCTGCTTTTGCCAACCTCTGCAGTTCTTCATCTCTTTGATTGTCATCAAGGTCTTCTAATTGCCCTAATTGATTACCAATAATTGAATTTGTTAAAATATGTAAAGCCGTTTGGACGGCATCTCTGGAGTGCAAGGGGTCAGTGTTTACCTCTTCGTTCGCCATCATCCGTTATTTAAAAATTTAAATAGGAGATGTAATTGTTTAGGTGGTAAAATAAAATCAGAAGAGTTTCTCTCTACTGATATATTTACTCTTATTTAGTGATTTAACAATTAAACGTGCATTATCTTTTAGCAAATGAGTAAACTTTTCAACTCTGTGAATATTTGAACCGTATCTTTTAAAAAGTTTCTAATTTTTCATTTTGTCCCTCCTGTTTGAAGAATTCAGTTAATGAAAAATGTCCTGGTAAATGCCTGTCTGCATAAATACCTTAATAACCTTTTAAATGCAAGATAACAGTGATTATTCAGCTTTGAGGAACGTTTATTAACTCAAAAATGCCTTTCAGAAAGAAAATACGTTTAATTTCACTAAAATAACCTAAAAAGCGAAGTGAAAACCTGTGATCTCAAGTCTTTCCAGAAGGTGTCAGCATAACCTTACTCATTTTAACTCATACACTGTTAGTGTTATCCAGTAGGAGTCGCTATGACTTCCTGTGGCATCCGGTCGTTAGCTGTTAGCTTAAAATTAGCATCGGCTAGACTTGGTTAAAACCAACATTTCTGAACGGATTTTTTACTCAAACGTGGCAAAATTTTAGCAATTAGACTTCGGAGAACCAGCAGTTGATCAGAATACAGCTTTTAAAGCGTTTTCGAACTTTAAAAAGCAGATTTTATTCCCTATAAAAAACGAGTTTTCATTTCTGGGTCACGTGACTGGATCGTTCAATGACAGAGCAACACGACCTGACACGTCAGAGTTAGTCACTACTGACACGTCTGTCAGCCAATCAAAACGTTACACACGGTCTTTTTCAACCAATCACAGAACGTCTTTCCCAACTAGCATGTTAGATTTATCTGAACAAGTCCGTCAACTTTTTGTCTTTTAAACTGTCAAAATGCACCTTTTTCTGTTAAAATGTAATCAATAAACTCCCAGCTGCACGGAGTCGGCGCTCCAGTCTCAAAAATGTTTTTCTAGCTATTTAAACAACTCGTTCGAACCTTTTCAGAACCGAGCCGGTACCAGAACCACGTCTGAACTGTCTTTAAACAGAATAAAGCGTTTCCACACAAATCCAGCTTAGTTACACATAACAGAAGTACAAGTTCAGCATTCATAAAGACATATGACTCACAAGTTCAGCTTCAAACATCCAAGCGTAAACATGTAGCGTCTAGCTCCAAGCGCGCAGCTTCAGCCGCTGCGTAAACATGCAGTGTCTACTCCAAGCGCGCAGCCCAG